GGGGGGGAGGGAAACATGTTAAGATAAGGAGACAGCATTTAATCAACAAACAGAATGACTTAATTTTTAGCAGACCAAAGGAAAAGAAATCTATCTAATTAAAAGCTAACCCCTTAAGGTTTGGTCATTCAACATTAGTATTCTTCAAATACCAAAAAGAAGTCTAACAACACAGCCATCAAAACAAAGACATAAGATGTTATATAAAACTCCAGAGAGCCTCAATCCTCAGTAGTCACCACCACGCAGGCGAAGGCGAAGGACAAGGTGGAGTGTGGATTCCTTTTGGATATTGTAATCCGCAAGGGTACGCCCATCCTCCAGCTGCTTACCAGCAAACATGAGCCTCTGCGGGTCTGGTGGGATCCCTTCTTTGTCCTCAATTTTCGCCTTCACATTATCTATAGTGTCGGAGCTCTCCACTTCTAATGTTATGGTCTTCCCTGTCAAAGTGTGTTGACAAATATCTGTATACCTCCCCTCAAACGCAACACCGGATAAAGTGTTGACTCCTTCTGTATGTTATAGTCAGCAAGTGTCCTTCCATCTTCAAGTTGCTTCCCTGCAAATATCAAACGCTGCTGGTCGGGGAATGCTTTCCTTGTCTTGAATTTTGGCCTTCACATTGTCTATTGTGTCAGAACTCTTAATCTCCAAGGTGATAGTCTTCCCCGTCAAAAGTCTTAACAAAGATCTGCATGCCACCACGTAGACGGAGGACAAGATGGAGGGTTGACTCCTTTTAATTATTGTAATCAGCAAGAGTTCAGCCATCTTCAATTTGCTTTCCAGCAAAAATCAACTTCTGCTGGTCTGGAGGAATCCCCCGTCTTGGATTTTCGCCTTGACGTTGTCAATGGTATATATCCGAGCTCTCAACTTCAAGGGTGATGGTCTTACCAGTTAAGGTTTTAACAAAAATCTGGCCTGCACATTGTCAAAAGATTGAAATTGCATCAAGCAGATAATAGAATGAAGTGAAAGCATTAACAGATCTTCATGGAATAAGCAGGCATAAACCACATTTCAATGATTCACCATCAATCTACTATAATTAGATCAGGTATCGAAACAAGGATTTAATCAACCTAAATCAAATCAAGCTTATGTCAACGCAACTACTCAAATACCTCCTGAAACATTGAAACCCTAGGTCATCAAGTTCATAATCTATAAACTTATGCATCAGTTAATCGAAGAACCGCATCTGACAAAGAATCACTCAGATCCAAATAAATCAAAAGAAGAAAAGTCGGCACAGTCAGTCCAATTACAAAAATAACAGAAAGAAGAAAATAAAAACGTAGCTCAGCAAATTCATAACTTCCATACGCGAAATCCAAAATTTACACATGAATTGATCAAAAAGAAGCATTGCCCATCGCAGAAATTCAGCAAGTTGTGATAAATCAAACAGGAAAAAAGAAAACCTAAAACGACAATCTAATCTAACATGTACCAAAATAAGGATTTAATCACTATCTTGATAAAGAGAATGAGCAAGCTTCGAAGGACGTGAGAGCAAAATCATCAGCACAAGCAAGAAACAGATTAGAACACAGCTTTCCCGAGTCTCCCAATCTTAGGCTATGCAATAGGAGAGAGCATTAACAGCAAGCCATTTTCATATTGTACTTGGCCCGAAGAATAGTGTCATTGTGTATCCGTGTGTTGTTCCGATAAGTTGTGTCCTCATTGACAAGATGTGTCCATTTTGTCCTTCCACTACGACCAAAGTGTTTAACCTGCATGACTTTTGGTAGCATGGACTTATCCAACTTATCCTCCCCTATTGGTGCAGAGAAATTACGGAGGTATATACTATCAATACCAGAAGTTCCAGCTCTAGCTCTGTCGTCAGGATCTGACTGGAAGAAAGCACCCTTGTGATAATATTTCTGCATAAACTTCCTCTTCTTCTTCTTGGGTGGTGGTGGGGAAGGTTTTGGGTTTCTCCTCTCCCACTCATTTCTCTCTTCTTCCGTCATGTTTCTCAACATCTCTATTTCTTTCTGCACCGCCTTCAAAATAGCCTCCTCCTCCTTCTTCCTCTTGATCCTGGCTCTTTCTCTGGACTTCCAAGCTTTATATTCTTCAGCCTCATTCACCTCATCATCAGTATCTACATCAGCAGCAATATTAGCTTCCAGCTCCAAATTTTTCTGAGTTAAAATTTCTTCATCTCGTATCTTCTCAACTACTATTTGCTTAGTTTCAAGTTTTCTCTCCTCTAACTTCTTCCTAAGTAACTCCTCGACAGCTCGTTCCTCTGCCTCACGCCTCTCACGCTCATGTATGGTGTCTCTCTCAAATTTTGGAACAAAAACTGCAGGTTTCACTATTGCTATCCTACTTGTTGTTGTCTCTTCCTCTGATTCAGTCTCATATTCTGACTCTTCTTCCTCCACTGCCTCGGCCTCCTCTGCTTCTTCTTCTTCTTCTTCTTCTTCTTCCTGTTGCCTCAGAAGATTCTTTTCCCTAATTCTCCCCCTCCTTTCCTCCAAGGCATCTTCATCCTCCTCCTCAAATTCCATTCTTTCTTCCTCTTCTATGGTTGAAACAATCTCCACTTGCCGGATGCATCGATGATCTGCTCTGATTTCCTCACGGTTGTCAACTCTATACTCTGCCAATCGATGCAGCCTAGCATCATCACCCTTTTTTGCAATGTCTGAACCGCCGGCGCCCTAGCTATGAAAGTCTTTCTCAAGCACTGCTTCCCTCCTAATATCCTCCTTATCATCTGCCCAGCATTCAGGAGCTTTACCAGGACAATATTTTTTCACTTTTGTTTGGCCAATTTTACCCCTAATTGCCATAATTGTATCACTTACACTAGCTGTTACAGACATTTATAACAACGAAAGAAGAGAAAAAAACCTAGCTCAACAAACTCATGACTTGAACATGCAGAATTGATCGACCTGATGGCAGAAATTCAATCGAACAGAAAAAAATAAAAAACCTAAAGATCAATCTAATCTAATATAATCTGCGCCTCAACAAGAAAATCAATTAAAATCGCATAAAATTAAGGAGAGGAGAACATTCTTATTCTTACCTGAGAGGAGACGGCGAAAGAAAGTTGCTGCTTTTTGCCAAGAAGAGAAAAAGAGATTGGTTGAGACTTGATACTTGAGAATGAAACGAAAGGAGAGGAGGATGAGGAGTATATAGGAGTTGAAATAATGGTCAAAGTCAGTTTAGTTTCCCGTTTCCGTAGGGATTAGGGTTTTTTTTCTTGTGTTTTTTGTTTCTTTTTGAAAATTTTAATTTGGTATTTTTTAAAGGGGGAAATTTTATCTTGTCTGACAAATAAGAAGAGGGGAACGTCTTCATTCTTTCTCTTCTTCTTCTCTACGATTAGGTTTGGGATATATAT